GATATTTAAAGCATGTGCAGACACCTATAAAACACAAGCGGACCTAAAATCCTGTAGAACAAACATTTCCAAATCAATTTCTTGCCACCAAGGTCCAACTTCAAAAGGTATTAAACAGTCCCATTCTACCTTAGCAGAACATTTCTAAGTATTCTGAAGCAGACAGTTTAAACATTAAAGAAAACCCAATGAGAACTTTACAAGACTTTCCTGTATTTGTCACAGCATAGAAGTGTTTGAACTTAAATGGCAGTAAATTATTAATTACATTGCTTATAAAGTCTCAAGAGCAAGAAAAGATTTTGCTGAAAGTTGCAGAAAAGGATTTTGTATCAAGCTTAAAACCAAGTAAACCAGAAACTAAACACCAAACCACCTAAAAAACAACAACAAAAAAATACACTTGCCTGGCTGCATTCTTTACTGCTTGTTGAAGATGATTAACAATTCATGATACCTATCAAACTTTCTTTTAAGTATGAGCTGAACTACTTTCTTCTGAGTGTGCATTAATGCAACAAGCACATAAGAAAAGTCAGACCACTAAGAATGTTTGTATTATGACAATGAAACCACCGAGGCTGAAAGAAAAACCACGATTATTTTTTTCCAGATATGATGATTGAGCTGTTTATGCTGTCCTGCTCCAGCACAGTTCACCTGTCATTCAGATAGATTTCATCTCCAAGATGCCTACAACTGACAGCAATCAAAGAAAAACAGTGGCAGCGATCGAAATGTGGAATGAGATTCCTGAAATATTTTTTCAAGATTTTCATTTAAGCCAAAAAGGCCAATGAAATCCTTAAAGTTCATCATCTGCCATGTTAATGCTGAACACACTGTTGTTTCATTTACATTTCTGGTCCTCTTAAAACAAATACACTTGTCTAAAACAGAACATCTGTTTTGGTTATAATACAATGTATCTTTGGCAAGAACTCACAATAGAACTAACATAAATAATCAAGAATATTTATTGAACCTTGTAACAAAAACTGATTTGTAACAAAAAACATGAAGACTAGATATGACTGTCTCTGGGCTCCAGTCCAGTCCTAATCTAAGTCAATAAACGTAGGTCTAAAAGGGAAACTACATTTTTTTTTTAAAAAAAAAAAAAGTCCTGCAGTTATTTAGGTTGGATGTAGGTATCTGACAGCATGTTAGTTACAAAAATAGTGAAAAATATTTGCTTTAAATCAAAAACTGTCAAACTGAGTCCAGACAGGTTTTAAAGCCACATGAAAGATTGTGCCATATGCCTCATTTCCTACTACTGTCTTCAGCGATTTGTCCTCTCCTTGGAAAATTTCTGTAAAACTGCACGTAGTTTGTATTTGCCATTGCTGTGGATTTGTTATTTTAATTGCCTGCTTCTCATATATTAGTACTAAAAAAGACAAAGCAGTCATCAGTAAAATATTGTAATGTTTTTGAGAGAAACTGAAATGAAGAACATAATTTTGGAAATCTCTTTCGATACTGATACAACTGAAATTTTTCAAGTGGGTACCAGTTAATTTTATTCTTGCCACACAATTAAAAAAACAGGTGAAACTCCTCATTTAAGTCTGTAGTTAAGCATTCACTACAGTCAGATACTGAAGCCAAAGAATAACTTCACGCACAATTCTTAAATTATTGTACAGGACTTTAGTAGCAGAGAGACGATTTCAGCATGTACTGCAGACACACGCAATCAAGTGTTAAGCTGGTTATTATCATTAACCTTCATTAGCGTGCATACCTGTCCAGATTAGTTGTGCACGCATCAACTGCACATACCTTCTTTCTACAATTACAGACTATTACAGCCTCATTTCCCTAGAAATACATGAGCCAAGTTCCATATGACGAACTAGACATAAAAGTACAAACAGATTTTTATTTTTTTATAATAATTTCTGATCCTATTCTCCACTTCTAACAAAAAAAAAATTAAGTAGTACCATATTACACGCTTTATTTGTCAAGGAAGCCAGTCTGTAGTACCTCTCTATCAGCCACCTTTCTGAATGACAGCTTAAGAATTTGATTAAGATTTTGGTTTTAAAGCACTATAAAACTATCCAGCCTTATCTGCCAAGCCAATTTACATTTGGACCCCTTTAAGGAAAAAGGCTGTAAACGCAAATACAATTGGCAATTCTCTGAAACTTGCACACAGCAATAACTGAGCTCTGTTTTGCTGGGCAAGGATTTCCACCTTTATGCCGCTCAGTGCATCACTGCAAGAAGCTGAATGCTTGGGAAATGGTATCATGTTAGGTGCAATTGAGTCATTCTGTTACAGTTTAAGTACCAGAGGCTTTTTGTTTTGTTTGTGTGGTTTTGTTGTTGTTTTTCCCACAGTGCAAACACTAAATTGATTTGTAAATTCATTTTTTAGTTACAACTGCAACCTGCTTAGGCAGATCTTCTTTACAAATGAACTGTTCCAACAATACTGGAAGTGTTTATTAGAGATTTTAATTGAAAAACAATTTATAAAGATCACTTCATCCAAAAGCATACCACAGGTTTCCACAGAACTGATTAGAGATCCGTTTTCAGCCTATGTATAAACAAAGCCCTCACATTTTCCCCTATCATGAGAAAACAACATAATCAAGGGAACACTTTGTACATGGAAACAGAGAAGTTTGTGATGTGAGAGCGCATGGTCTGGGGGACTACTTTTATTTATAAAAAGAGGATCAGCAGAGCATATTCTTCCAAGTCATCTTTCACAGTTCCCCTCAAGAGGTATAGCAGTTCACACAACGTATGCCTACCATCGCCTATTGCTCAGATGGTAATTCTGTACTAATTGCTCCTCATTTAGCAAGTATCACACATTTGAACTCAGACTGACATAAATTCCAGGCATTTCACTGAATCATCAGAAGTGGGGGGGTGGATGTCTGGACTCATCATTCCTTTCTGTTACTAAGAAATACCAAGGGGATTAAGGAGAAAGTTTTCTGGAGCTAGAAAGCAAACAGAGTAGCTATCTTGCAGGATTCAGCAGCATGGCTGAGAAACCCCAGCACTGGATAATGCAGTGAGACGCACATAAAACTAGTTTAGCAGAAGGGGCAACATGGGAACCCCGATCTTCAAGAAAGAAACTCAGTCAAGACATCCAGAACGTGATGAGAGACGGAAGGGCTGTAAGTCCAGCTTATTTGTAAACCCACATACATAAATGCACGCACAAACGACAGCCTACAGAGTTCAACAGCAGCAAACGTCACCTATGGCACGCGCTACAAAAAGAATGACATCCTACTTCGTTTTAAGGTGCACTACCTCAGGGTTCTGACGCCGCAGTAGGGACTAGCTCACCACCACATATGGCAAGCACAACACAAGAAAACCATTAACAATATAAATGTAGACTGAAAGCAAAATGCTTTTGATCATGCCAATTTTCACCTCCAGGAATTAATCTGGCAAGTTAAAAAACTGCATTTATATATTTTTCCCCAAAAATATCACAAGTTTTGGGAAAAGTGAAAGGTTAAAAAATTATCTGTCACTAACAGAAAAAACAACTAACTTGATAACCTGACTTCTGCCTTAGAGCATTTATACCAATTCCTTTTTCACAAGAGTTTTTATCAGTTCCAAGAACTTGGTAGCTCTACTGCCCCCCCCCCAAAATCAACACTGATAATTATTTTGCAAATTCTATAACCTTGAACTATAAACAGGGAGAAAATATTAAAGCTAAAGAGGAAAACATAGGGAGAAAACCATCCACCACCGTACTACATAAATACATTTTCCTGTGTAAACTAAATAGTTATTTACATTTTGTGGCACATGATTAATAAATAAATAAAATAACTATTACTCTTTCAGACAAAGTGCTTATGTCAATGTAATGGATTTTTAAACTATATGAAGTGAACAATAGTGAAATTAAGCATTTGCCAAAAATGAGACAGTGTGAAGTGTCTTCCATTCTCTACAGTCATCAAAAATCCACTGTTTTCCAGTGGGAAAGAGGATGCCTTCGAGTTTTTCAGAAGCCTGAACAGCCTCTCTTTGCAAACAATTAAAAGCAGAAAAACCCTACTATGTCTCCTGGAATAAAACGGAAGATTTAAGTATCAGATCTTGTGCAAATTTACTTTGTAATATTAGAAATAAAGAACAAGCGCAATTAAATGATAGTATAAATTAGTAGGAATAATACATTTGTTGAACATTTCTGTAAGGTACCTTCTTAATCTATGGAGAAAAGGCTCCATTAAACATATACAGCAGTTTGAACAGAGAAAGGCCGTAACTTTTTGAAAAATTTAGATAACTTATTTCAGTATGTTAAGATAGTGAAAACTAAATACTGGCTGTTAAACTTCAGCACAAAAACATAATCCAAGGTAAATCACCAAAAATGCTTTAAAGAAAATAAAGGTGTGAATTAAAAAAAAAAGAGCAGTTCTGCATGGGAGAAAAGAAAGTGATATAGTACAGTTTCCATCCAAGTCAACAGAAAAATAGTTTAGTTTGAAGTCAATGAACTAACGGATAAAATCTTAAGTTTAAAGAGGATAAATACCTTCACTACTTTCTGATAGGTATTAATAAAATATTTATTTCCAGACTATTTAACAACCATAGGATTAGCAAGCACTCCATGCTGCAGTCAGACAACACAAGCTTTATCATTTGCATTTAAACCTCATTTATCAAGAAACAAACACACCGTGCCAAACAGGCCCTTGACCGTTTGAGCTGCTATTCTTGCGTACTTTGTTACAATGATAATAGCAACGGAGTGAACCTCAGGAAGAGAAAATAAAATGCTTCAGTGAGTCTCACTAACTCAGGAGAACAACTTTCATGCTCCAAAGAGCTACAGCCATTTTCCTTTGGCTAGAAGGATGGGTCAAGCTCGACTCAAAAAAAGAGAGACAAGGCAATAAAAATAAACAGTTCAACAAAATTACATTTAAAACTACTTAAGATGTGCTGAACAGTTGAGTATGACAGCAAGCAAAGCGATCTTACCAGTAAACAACATCCAGTGGCGCAAAATATTTCTTCATAATTAAGTCAGCAAAGTAAGCTTCTGTTTCTCTGCAGGCCGTGCCATTGCCAATCACAACAGTGCTACAGCTTTGCACAGGGTAAAAAGATGAAAAACTACTCTTAATTATTCTTTTAGACTTTTTCATACGTAGCATTCAATACATGACAAGGACCAATATATTTTTTTCATGTAACACAAGGCTTGGATTTAAAGAGAACATATTCCTGGAAATATTACATTATGTTTAACACGTTTTCAGTGCGATAGTTCAAGAGATGAGTCAAAATTTTCACTCATCTGTAATGGAATTGAACAGTGGTAATATCTGCAGAAAAATCGTAAGTGATGCTTCGTATGCATAAAAGAAATGTAATGTTATTTACAGTCCTCAAACTCTTTCACCTCCTATTTCCTTCATCTGTTATGAGTCATGAAAAAGGGCAGAAGCCCAAGCAATCAGAATCTCAAGTCCTTCACAGGAGCATCATAGTTTGCAACAGCTTGCAAGGTCATTGCCTCTAACTGCCCCCACCACAGCCAGTCAGCCATCAAATCACCTTCTTTAAAGCCGATCTAACGCTTGAAGACAAACTGGACTGTGTGCTGTGGCAGTTCAGCAGCTGACTCAGTGGAGCAGACATCTGTCCACAGGGGATCCCAAAGTAGTTGGATACAATAACGCTTTAATCGTGCTGCCCCTATTTGCAAGTCCGTCTGGAGATCTACCCGAGCAGGATTTCCTTTGCTTAACAAAACTCTTCCACAGACTAAATGCGGCTTTTGGAACAGGGAAAGATCGATGAGTGGTTTGGGGTTTGGGAGGGGCGGGGGTAGGAAGAGAGGCTAAACTTATTCCTTAGCTGAATGTTAATTTCTATTCCTAAAAATAAATAGATTGACAGAGCTTTATGGGGATACATTCATAGCATGCAGCCTTAGTCATAGCCATGGCTTGATTTCATCTGCTTCTAACATATACATAGTGTAAAAGCATGAACATAGATTAAAAGATAAATATGCTCTGAACTACATAAAAAAGTAATTCCAGTTAAATTATTAGAATTCTTATTTCACCCAAAAGCAAATTTATATAGCAAACATTTTAATTACTTTGGTAAAAAACAGTAATAAATGGAAGTTTCTTTAGCATACTTGTACTGTAGCAGAAGCCTCTTTATCTTCTCAGCTTCACGGAACCCTTGACCAGAATGCAAGTAAACGACATCGGTATGGAGTATCTGACCTAGAACAATGAAAGGCAAAGCCATTGGATAAAAAACCCCACAAAGATCCAAAAGCTATATCCTGCAGCGCTACTAAAGGCAATTCGACGATTCACAAAGAAAGCTTCTCAATAAGCCATCTTTTATTTTTGTATCCGATTAGGAGAAAAGTATGGTGGGCAGAGGACTAAAATGCTTTGGTTGCCAAAGCAAAATGAATCAATAGATTTTCTAGTTCCCTGGGGACATATCCACATAACAAATAACGAGCATCTAGTCATATTAGCCAAATAAAGTGTACTAGATTATGAAAGAGAAAACCAGCAATTCACTGCAAAAGATTGATTGCTCTAGCGTAGTACATTTTACAGATCCAGTAGAGATGAAAATTAGGAATGTAGTCTCAGGACTTGCGGTCCAGAAGCTCTAGAACTCCAGAGCCAGCTCTTGCCATCATCCCATCTGTCACATTTGGAAATAACTTGTACTAACCGGCACCAGTAGCTTAGGGTGCCATGGAAGCTAATAACCATTTACCTTACCTTCATTGCCATTTTAACACATCACCACATCTTTCCTTATGCCCACCCTGGGTACGTATATTCTCAGAGAAAAAGCAACAACAAAACAAAAGGAAACTAAACCATTTTTTGCATAGGCCTAAAGAGGAATCTACCCCCAGATCAGACTCGGATGAGCTGGAAAGGAAAGGAAAGGAAATCTGTCTAAAAACTGAACTAAAGAAGTTCTGCAAATACAATGTTTCTGACTTCTCACGTTAACACTCATACTACTAAACAAAAAGGACTGACAAAGTGTCCAGATGTCCAAGATACTACTAAAAAAATAAAGCAAAGTTATAGAAAGTATTTAAATTCAAATTCTTTGTTAAACAATAAAAATGCCAGCTGTTCTCTTTGCTGACTACCGAGAGGCACAATTATTTGAACCTGTATTCAAGAAGGCAGAGGGACTTTAAATTCTATTCTGGAAAGAAGTAATAACACCAAAGGAGACAGGGGAATCCAGGTGCCAGAAACTTAACATCAAGCCTGAAGAAAGGCACTTGCATGACAGGATATGTGGAAAACACTAAAAGCTTAAGAAAAAAAAATAATTCAATTAAAAAAAAAAAGGTTTTGAAACTATCCTTTCCTCTAAATGAATATATTTTTATCAGACCTTTCAAAAATACTTGGAATTGAAACTTACTGGTTGGTGAAATAATTGCCAGCTTACAGCCATGTTTGTAGCCAGGATCTACTCCCATCAAAGTTCGGCCCCTCACAGGACTAGTCAGAAGCAACTGCCGGAGGTTTCTCCCAAACATCATCACAGACTCTTTCTCTGCATCAGATGTCAACTTTGATCTTTGAAGGATGAAAGCAAAAAAACAATTTTCCCCTCAATTAGCTTTCAAATGCACTTTTGAACTATTCCAAAGTTGTCAAAGTTGTAAGGCTTTTTCCAATCATGTTTTCATTATCTTTAATTAAATATTACACTTCCAATCAAGTTTGACACTTTTAAAAAAGTATCAGCTATATGATCATCTCATTCTGGTTCTGAGAAAGTAAACCAACATAAAGAGTATAATAGAAGCACCTATACGGATGTACACATACCAACTAAAAAGCATCAACTCGTAATTCTGAGCAAACAACTACTGCCCGTCAAATCTGATACCTAATTGCAAAGAAAAGTGGCTTTGAAGAAAGTATGGATTGATTTCATCATAACTTCCTAGTTCTGGAGAAAAATCACTACCCAGCAAAAAAAGGATGATCATTTAGGCTGAGAGGTACTAGAGAGAAACTGGAAAGGCCTGTCCAATTAATTGCTAACGCACCATGACTCATGAGGCATTTAATTTTGTATACAAATTATGTTATCTAATAATCATCACGGAAGCGCGTAGACTTTAGACTTGAGTCCTTCTAGGAGGGTATTCCGCTTCCTCAGAACCAAACTCAAAAGCTGATGGGGTCAGGATGTTCCCCACCTTTCTTTTCCATATTCTTCAACAGAAAGAAGTGAGTTAATGTACCAAGGACTGACTTTGAGGACTTCAAGCAAGAACACTTACTGAAGAGTGTTACGAGAAACAAATCAGTCTTGTTGAGTGAAGGTGTGCAAGACGCATGATGTCTATTTGTCACATGTGGCCAACAAGACAATGACTGATAAGGACAAGTATTTTTGTCAGGGTATGGCATCTTATATAAAAAAAGCAAAATTGAAAAAGTAATAGACACACAAATATTCATCGCCCAGATGCCTTTTTTTTTTTCTTTTGCAGGTAGCCATTGCTATTTTAAGCTTCATGACATTGTCAGTAACTACAACCATTAGGCAAGCAACAGTTATCCACTAAAGCCTTCATATAACTTAACGGGTAGCCAGTGCCCTTATTCTCCTTTTCCTTTTAACCACCACTGCAAAAAAAAGTAATATCTGGGTTTATTTTTACAGAAGAAAAAAACCACCCCTGCATTCCAGTTAACTAACCCTATAAGAATGGGGCAGGAGAAATTACTCAAGTTCAATCAAAGCATGACACAAGCAGGCTACAAACAGTTCAAACAACTCTCGTAAAGGCTGTTTGACATGATGGGATATGAAGCTGTTCTGAGCAATTTTCAGATGTGGAAGAACTTGAGCCTGACTTGAGTTTGCCCAGGATCCAACAAAACCACCAGCTCAGCCCTGTCTCATCCCACAGTGGATCAGAAAGAGGTGGTAAGTCCTCATCATCTCTCATTTGAATAGCAGTCTAGAGGTAGGTCTAGATTCTCTTTCACATGTTGTTTGAATGTTTTCTAAGGAAGTGTGCAACAGCAAAAGAAGGTCTAGATTCTCTTTCACATGTTGTTTGAACGTTTTCTAAGGAAGTGTGGAACAGCAAAAGGCTCCCTTATATCCCCATCCTTTTTGGTTTTGTACCAAGTACACCAAATTAACACAGACACGATTTAAAGCAAAAGGGTGAAGGATATACATGCATTCCAGGACTCCTTAGCAATTCAAATGTGACCTCAGCATCAAAGAACAGACACTCTGTATGTTGCCATGACTCAAAACAAGAATATGGGAATGGCTGCAATACTTCAGGTAAGCGGTCTCTCTATCCCAGCATCCTGTCTCCAAGTGTGGCTATAAGCAGCCGCCTAGAGAGCTGACACTGCAGCACTAGGATACCTGTCCCGTAATCTTACCGTAGCCTCCAACTGTTTCCAGCTCAGACTATTTCCTGAGCTTGACATGATTTGTTGCTTTAGTAGCCCAGAACAGATCTCTCGTCCAACTATCCAGTCTCCTACTGGACCCACGCATCCACATAGTCCCCTAGAAGCGAGTTCTGCAGGTCCATCACAAACTCTGCAAATAGCTGCCACCTTCTTTTGGAAGCTGATTCTTTTTAATTTTTATGCTTCCCTAGGTCTTATACTGGAAGACAGCAAGAATATATCCCTAGAAACCCTGTGCCATTCTTCACATGCCATTCATCTCGAAGTCCTCTCTTTTCCAAGCTGAAGTGTCATAGCCTAGTCAATCCTTCACACAGAAACTATTTCATACCTCATTCCCCTTCACGGGGCCTCTTCCAGTTCTAACTCATCCTTTTACTACTTCCCCCCCAACACTCCCTCCCCGAGGTGAGGGGACCAAAATGGCCAATAATATTTCAAATATGGGCCAACTAAATCAATGATTTTATGTTTTGTCTTTATTCCTCACCTAAATAATCTTATCTTCTGAGCACTTCACATTTATGTAGAGCTACCTTCCACAGTGCCAAAGCATCTTTCCTTAGTGTCAGGATAGCTCCGAGCTAATATTCTGTATAGAAAGAAAATTACCTCCCCTTGCAAGCATCATTTTACACTCCATTGAGTTTCATTTGCCATTTTGTTTCCTGATCATTCAGTCTTGCAGCATCCTTCTCCCATTTTTAATAAATTAGACAAAAATACCCTAAACCACAGAACTAGCTTCTTCCAGAAGGAGTCCAGGGACACAACAATTTGATGCCACTTGTGATAGACTAGAGATAACAAAGCAAATATCTAAGCCTCACAGCCATATGGATCTTCTTCATACATGCAGAACAGAAATTCAACTAGTCATACAGGCATAGAAATGAACTTTAAAAGTGGCTTGTAAATAAGGGAATGTTGAACGTACAAAGCCTCCAGTCCAAGAGCAGAGACAGGCCAAGCTGCAGCTTTCCATCTACTCCAGAGACAGGGGGTCCCTATTGCCCACAAGGCCAAGTTCTCCCACACTGCAAATTCACATCAGTCCACCTGTGAAGGAATTAAAATTGTCCCTAAACACATGCTGTTAGTTACATGCACCTTATGGAAATCATGTTTAAAATTGGCATGGATATACAGAAACTGTTATAGTAACAGGAAATGTTACTGAAAGCGCCAGGTGCGTAGGGGGAACATAATGTCCTTGCTATTACATAATATCCTGTGTTTTTTAATTTCAAATAGAGACCTCTCTTTTCTCTCTAACTGTCTCTCACTCAGCATTTGTATCAATGACACGATCTACTGTCCCAGGTACTGGCCCTTAATTTCAAGTTTGGGGTAGTCATTTGATCCTTGAACAAATATCAAGCTACCTCAACCAACCTAATATCTTTCTCTGTACTACTGGCTTCATCCAAATGGCAAGGTGCCCAGCTTCATGTTTTTCCAATTTGTGACAATTCCCATTAATATGGCAGAGATATAAGGCAGAGGCGGTTAGCAGTCCTCCTCTCTAAACACAAGAGGAATGATTATTTTGTAAAAAAACAAAGGAAAACCCTTCAGTTGCTGCTTTATGAAAAAGTATCAATCAAGTCAGAATTTCAAGCCCCTCCCTGGAACTCTATGAAGCACTCAGACTGTTATATCACTAACAGGTATATTGTAATAAAAGCAAATAACCTGATCATGACCTACTGACTTCTATATTCAATTTATAAGAGTCAGTTTTTAAATTGAGATTTAAACCTCCACACTTCCATATACAGTCTGAGAGGCAATCCTTTCCATGGAAAAATATCTGCAGACTAGGTTCAGGTGCGAAACAAGATATACAGAGAAGTGTTTGTGTCCCTGAAGACAGAGGAGAGAAAGCACTCACTTTGAGAAAGCATGGAAAATTAGGAAAGGATTATCCATTAAAAAAATATGTCCATGCCACATCACTTGCATCAAATCCTGATGGAATAATTCCATGCAGTACTGCAACAAAATAAAATGTACTTCAAAGAGCCAAAAGCAACACTGCGCATTATTATACCAGATACAAGAAATGATGGTGTCTGACAGAGTGGAAGAAAGGAAATTAAACAATAAATAAGGTAATAGTCTTGCTGGCAAGTCTCGTTCTTCTGATCACTAGAAGCACCAGAAATTTCAAGACACTCTTAGAAACTTTCTATTCCAACATTTAATGGTAATAAAAAGAAAAGGAAAAAAGAACAGTGCAGGGTGGGTTGGAAATATTAATGCTAAAAGGAGATACTGAATACTTTAGCAGCCCTTTGTAAGAGTCCTAGAAATCAACTTCTGGTGTGGGCAGAAAGAGAATAAAAGAAGCATAAGGGTTAAGTGGTTATGGACCACAAATACTACTGGCAGGTGCTTTGCATTCCTCTCTTATAGGAGATGTTTCAGCTTTTCCTAACCAGACACCACCAATCATGCAAAATTATCACAAAGAGTAAAACATAAGCAGACATCCACTCAGGAACGGGCAGCAAGCTTTGTATTCTTTGCATTTATGACTTGTGAGCTACATTTAGGAAGCATAGAGAACAGAAAACCTTCAGCAACCTACTGCTGCAGCAGTCCTCAGTGTTATACACAACACAGGCCCCAACAGTCCTGTAGGTAGGAACCACAAAGCAAAAACACAGTAAAAGAGCCTTAAAGAACCCTTATGTCACTTTGCTTATGATAAAACCGAACCACCATACTAAAAGGTAAGTCTTTTTTCTTATTTTAGAAGAGTTTAATCGTAGAGAAGGCTAGGAACAACAACTACTTTCACATTTGTGTGACAGAAGCCAACAGCTGGACTCGCCATCATGAGATGTTCATCATTTTGGCCAAACAGACACAGTGCTTCCTCTAAAGTAGCGACATGTCACAACAAAGCAAGTTAACTCAGCACTCTCGAAAATTTCACTCTGCCAAACCAGGGTCACTAATCAAAAGAGGTGAAGCTATCTTGCTTGCAAAGTAATGAGTAAAACACAACATACTGTAGTGAAGAAACCCAAAAGCCAGTAGAAATATCCACTGCTCAAAACTTTAGCTGACAGTTCTTTTCAGAGGGGAAGAACATAGAACATCCAGTCCATAATGGTCAGAAAAAGAACTCTAATTTGAACAGAAACATAAGACCACAGCCAGGCAGGTACAGAAGAACTACATTTCAGAAGGTGATTGCTGATTTTAGGTACTGAATAACCAACACATGTCATTTTGACACAAGTCACTTCAACATTCCTGGTCCCAGAAACAGGGTCTCTGATAAACTCCATTTGAACTACCTCACAACAGGTATTAAAATATACGTCACACATCAGAAACCCTTGCCAGAATCAAACACATGATGCTTCAGTGAGCTTCTCTTGTATTCAAGAGAAGATCACATTCTCAGTACTGTTATCTTTCAGATTGTAGACTTTTTGACATACTAAATAGTTTCAATTATGTGGTAAACTCCTATACTAAACCATGAAAATACCCTATTTAATTAACACTACTTTGATACTAAGTTTTAAATTTCCTTTAAATTTAGAACAATATTACAGATCTTACAAGTGACACTGTCTGATGACATCATTACTACAGTATCACCAGAAATAAGTTTACTGACTTGTCTAGAGCCATCACAATACCCACAAAACGGTATCAGACTAACACCATGACTAATTCATTCCCCCCAAAGTGCAGATGACAAACATGAGTGATACTACCAGCCCCAACAATTCCTTTGCTGGTTTCTTCCAAACAGATAAAAGAGAAGGAGTCTGAACAGTGTCACTGGCAGTACTACTGCTGTGACATAAAGAGATGCTGGGAAAATTCAGTGACAAAACAGTGTATACTAACACAGGGATAAAGATACAACTGTTATGGTAATGTAGGTCTAAACTGTACTTTATTAGATAGGTACACAAGCAACAAATACATAAACATGCAAAACATCTTAACAGAAAGATGATTTCTGTACTACAATCTAAACTGGGTATGGTCACAAATTAAATCTACAGAACCAAGATCACATAGTTCATTTCTTCTGTAAGCACAGAGAATTAAAAACATGCTGATATTTTCAAAATGATAAAAGATATTGTAATTAAAAGTTGGGGTGAGAATTGTTAAGAAACTGGTAGAATGAAAATACACATATATTCTGGGCTTACCTGAATTCTCTACAGAGGAGAGGATAGATCAGGCGTTTATATGCATCCTCCACTGAATTCCGTAGTATCCTCATTAATTCTGGTTTTAAAAATTGTTTTGGTCTCCATCTACGAAAGAACAGAAAAGGAAAAATCAAAAAATATTGTAAGAATATATGCCAAAATAAAAAGGGAATTTTTTTAAAAAAATACTTCTACATTGAGTGTAATGTCCTATAAACTGCAGAATTACTGCAATAAGGCGGCAATGAAATCATAGCTTGAAGTCTGAATGGAATGAGAAGTTGCTCATGGTTTCATTATCAGACAAGGGACAAGGTCTATCTTATCTTTTTTTTTGTTAAGTATTAGAATGCAATCACATTTTATGTTTTAAAGAAAATACAAAAAATGTTACTCTTCACTTGGAGAAGTCAAAGCTTACCACAACTGAATGAAGAGTTTGGTTCCGTATGACCATTAGAGTTGCACTATTTGCTATTCCTTGATACATTAAAAAAAATGACTAAACATCCTCTGTGAGTGTCACTGCAGAGCTACTCATGTAAGGCAACTGTGTCCAGACACAAATTCAAGAGCTAAACTACCGTCAACTAACAAAACCCAATTCAAATTTCATTTGGAATGCTTTGAGTATCTCTATTCAAACTCAAAATGAAATCTTAACAATTTTGCAGCAGTCCTTAAACAACAAAACCAAACAATTTGCAACCGATTTTTCTCTTTTACCTGTTGCCAATATATTTAAAGTGTAAACAATATTCTAGAAAAAGGGAAAATGAAATAAACAATACCAAACAAACAAGATTATTTCCAAGCTTTTCGAAGCCAAACTCTTTGGAGCATTCCCTTTTCTAAGGAGACTGCACACAGTGGTCATAGCTGTAATGACAATGACTTCAAATTTTGTCCTAAAATACATCTCAATTTCAAAGTTTCCCAGAGCAGAGATCCCAGATATTGATTCTACTGACCTTTTTGTTTGGGGGAATACTACTGGGGTGCCGGGGGAAGTCCTTGAATAAGCACAACTGACTTACTGAGATTGTACACCCAACAAGAAGGGAGAAAGATTGAGGAGATGCAGCCACATACATCATACTCAAACAGAAGACTAGGAACACTTTCTATTACAGTCCACCTGTTTTTTTATTTCTTTTTAAAATACTTATAACATTCAGAGTTTTCTTAATTTACACGCCTGGGTCCCTAACTGCAAGGTGAGATACATACATATTTTTTAATATGCCTGAGTAAGTTTTGTAAGTTTTTTCTTTGCTTGATTGGGTTTGTTTGGGTTTTTTTAAATGCAACATAATAGAATTATGGCCATTTGATAATGTGTCCAGGTGCAGGCCCAGGCAAAAACAGGCCCGAATTTTACATTTTACTTTGTTTACTTGCACTCACTCAGAAATACTGAGAATCCTAAATTGCTTCTACCCAGACAGCTTTTCAGTTGTTTAAGGGGATCTACAATTTCCTGAAACAGCTTTTCTAAATGTCTGCGCATAGAATAATTGAGAAACGTGTGATCAAGTCAACTCTGCATTAACTCAGACAGACATAGAAGAAAAATTAAGCTTACCATTTAGTTTTACAACATTCAGAGTTGTGAGTGCGTAGCCATATGACCTCATCACTTTGCTAACAGTTTTTGCAACTAGAATTATTATACTTATTTGTAACCAGAGACTCTTTCCATACCTATATGAAATGGGCAAAGGCTTTAACCCTGTTATTGCCATCCATTTCTACAAACATGAAGTTTTTACAGGTGGCAAGTATGACGACACTCCCCCAGAAATTATCCTCGGCACAAATAAGAACGAATTTGGAAACCTGGCAGCTGTTTCCCCCTCTCTTCCATCCATTAAAGCTAGTTAGTAAACTTTTCCTCTGTAAATAGGTTATCACAGCAGATATTTTTATTTCCTGCCTATATATAAGTAAAAATTTTTTTTAGACTATTAGAAATTGCCACAAATGCAAAAATATCCAAACAGTAAGTCAAATCATAGCAAATACTGCATTCTAATCATTCCAATACTTCATAAGAAAAATCCAAAATCCACTTTGCAGCAAAAAACAAAGCAAAAGCATGCGTGCGTATTTTTAAAGATGATCACAGCCTAAGAACAGATTTTTCTTGATTATTTAATCAAGAGTTGAGTTTTGCAGCCCTTTAAATGAAGCCCTATTTAGAAAAGTTCCATATAAATAATATCATCTCACTCTGCTCATCAGCTCTCCATGGGTGTGTGCTCACAACAGGGACCACCGGAAGCACAAATGGCTGGGACTATGGATACACCTCAGAGGGCGCAACAGAATGAACGTAGCCCACGGTAAGAACCAGCAGTATGAATTAACGACTGCTCCAGGAAGAGCACAGCTACGCTTTCAGACCTGAAGCGCAAAAAGCAGAGCTTTCTTTTCCTCCAAGAAACTGTACGAAACATGCAGCAAGTTGGTAACCACAGACAAAGGTTGCCCTTAAGGCATTATCATGGACTTTACACAGGACCAGAGAATTTTGTCTGGAAACAGAAAAGCAGATCATCAAACACCAAATTTAATTTTCAAGGCTGCAATCCCACTTTGGAACAAAACCTCGCCCCTTCCCAAGGAACAACTCCATGTTGGCTTTACACTCAAGGCCAGCTAAGCAGCCCCTCTCCAGCTATTTCTCACTGATCCTTTTTCTGCATCCCACTTCACAATTAAGTCTTTGGGACCCTGCAATTCTAGTGTTAATGGAGCTAGGTTTGCTGTCAAACCACAGAGATGCCATTTTCTGGGGAAAGAAAAAAAAATCTGTAAGGCCAGGCATAAGGATGTCCCTGAGTTTTCAGTACAAACCCTAATGTCAAGGAAAAATATGTGCTTCTACAGGCTAATAAATACTCTGAACTTACTGTATTTTCTTTGCAATCTTAGACAGCATCTACATAGAGCTCAATGCAATAATGAAGAACTACAGTCTTTCAAACCCACTTCCCATTGCAGAGACATTTAATGCTAAAAAAAATTCACCTCAGAAGAACACTTAAAGGTCAGCATATTTGCTACTGATTCAACAGGCGGCAGGTGATACTGTTTTGTGGCTAGAATACCGGTCAAACTCTGTAACAAGGTGGCATTTCTGGTTCTGCAACTGATTTTGTGCTTGACCTTCAACAAATCAGTTAATACCTTTGCAAAGTTTTGAAACCCTGAAACAAAAGTTCTTTACCTTCTGCTCTCACCAGTAAACCAACGCAATGAAAATAATGCAACTCCCACCCTTGGACAGTCATTTCCAAGCTTGCAGGGCAGAATACACATTTACTGTTTGTCAGTTTGATAACTCAGTTGTCAATCTAATGAAGAAAATCAGAATCTGTCCCAGATGTTAATGCACCAACGTCTACTAAAATCATTCCTTTGGAAGTTTTCTGATGGTGGAGAAGTTGTCCTTAAATAGTAGAAAGCCATAAGCATAATAGCCTCATGAATGCTGAGTATTAATAAGTAGTTCCATTTCCAAGGTCACTATTCTTTTTATCTCAGGATGACTCACAAAAGTGTAGTCAACCAAAATACCTCAATTTACATCCCACTTTCATTTGTGATGCAGTGACAAGCTGTTCCATTATCTGTGGCTCACAGTGCTTCCAAATTCTGTCATAGACACAGTAAAAGCAAGACTGACAGGTATGTTCTGCCTACAGAATATACATCTTGGGGGCAGGACCGAAATTCCACTACAGGTATTAGAAGTAGAATGGAACTGAGGTGTGTTTATGAATCCTGACACTTGCCTGAACAACAACAACAACAGTTATTTACTATAAGTCCCAGATCATATCATGTTATCTGGCCAAACAGTATTGTAGCTCTTTCAGAGGCTTCTGTGTTGGAAACTGAACTATTAAATTTCTACAGTGAAAAGGAACGTTTTTACCACATCCCCTTCTTGGACTTGGTGTGGAAGAAAAACACATGCTAAAGCAGTATCACTATGCAGTTTTATACATTAAAAAAGTATATATTTTCCTATCTTTTTTCCTCCTTTTTGTTATTCAGTTTTAAGATGCGAAGCTAGGAGATTCTAAGACATCCTCAGAATGATGCCCAACACCTCAAACCATTGAGAAAGAGAAACCTGTCTTCTACACATACAAGGAAGACGCAGAGTTTGGATTACAATCTTCTCCAACAGAGGATATCAAGGTTCAGTTTCCAAGAAAAAGACTGACAGAGATATTGCACAAAACAGAATATATTTAACCTAAACTTCTGCAAAAATATCTCAAAATCATGCAACACTAAACATCTCACTACAGGCTAAAAAAAGCAACTTGTAAGAGCAAATCAGTAAGAAAGAAAAGAATCACCCAGTTTTCCAGCTTAACCAGAGATCAAAATGCAAGAGCCGGGTCACATGACATTTAAGAATCATGGGTTTGTGTTGCTTAAGACAGACACATTTAGGTTCGTCTATTAAATCTGATACCTTTTTTTTAACCTGTAATTCCTCGTGAAACTCAAAGTTATGTGCTTTACTGATCTAAAAATCTGACATGGCCCTCTCTAATCTTTGTAATCAGGCATATGAAGGTTTTTGGGTTTTTTTTAGAAGTCTGAAGTAAGTTCTATTGGATTCGACAAATTCCTTTCAGTAAAGACTACTGAATGTGATGCATATTACAATTTGAAAATATTCCATTTCATCAGCCTTCACATAGTTTTTTTTAAATTCAGTTACTTCAAGAATGGTGCCAGAACTCCCCATATACAGCCAAAGGCATAATCTTTTCAGCATAACGCTACAGCAGTTGGAAATACAGAATAAGAATTATACACTTGCTAATTTAATCTAATTAATAAATATTCGTTTAAATTGTTCTCTTAATGTAACAAGACATGTGAGGTACATTTCAGTATGCAGCTGTCTATAGAAAACAGAGATTTCTGTAAGAATACGTATCCATGCAGACCTTTCATTGACACACCACCAACAGAATTCATTCTTCACCCCGTCAGGAATGTTGACCTTCACTGTCAGGATCTTCAGATTTTCCCCTCGGTTAATGGCCAGAATCTGAGTGCAAACATAAATGGCACAGACAGATGACACACAAAATATCCAAAAGATAAACTTATCAACATTTGTGTACGCGCTTGCTTGACATTCTGTAGCAAATCATGATGGTGGTACAGTAAATCAGTCCACAAAGTACTAGCATGTACAGATAACATCCACAATTTAAACACAGATTAAATCACGCCGTGGCATAACAAATCACACATTTTTCCTGGAGTCTGCAATCTCAAGATCCAGTTTATCTTAAACACACTTATAATGCAAGTCAGCATAAATTTAGGTGGTGGAATATTCTCATTTAATAACCCAAATTAAAACTCAAGAAATGAATTGAAAAGTGATTCCAATCAGAATAGAAAACAGAAAGGGAAAATGTTAGTCCTCTGTGTCAGGTTTCATTTTTCTTCCCAAGATCAGTCCAAATTTAAAATTAATTATGAGTTGGAACTTGTGACACAAAGGTAATTCTGCGTTTCAAAAAGTTCTTTTGAAAACAATTGTGTTCGAAATGGGTTTTCGCGCCTAGTTCATAAACAGCAGAAAATAGACACACTCTTTATACTAACACTCCAGCCTTAAAACTTATGCACATATTTCTGGCAGAGTCTTGTGCACATAACTGCATATTCATGATCTAAAGCTAAATCTGTTTGCGCACGTGCTATCTACATACAGAGTTCGATTTAAAATGGAAGTCTGTGGCTCTACATTTAAAACCAAGATCACAATTTCAGTGGTGGATCCTGGAGGATACTATTGGGTATCTACTGGCCTAATCTCACTATGAAGATGTTGAATGCTCACCTGAAGCAGGCCTTATAATATTAAAAACTCACTGGCCAAGGGATTTTAGAAACAGAACACTAGTTAGAAGCAGCTACAAACAAAAACCACACGTTTTTAGATTTCATTTTCCTTTCCAAAATACTTTAAAGTGCAAAAATAAAAAAAAACTGCTAGAAGTTGACATTCCTGTATGACTACACATGTTGCTGTATGTAGCAGGCCCTGAGCACTGTCACAACAGAGCATTCTGTGTCAATCATGAACTTTAATTCAATCACTAGCTAACTCAGACATGTCACATATGTTAAATACAATGGTTTAAAATGACTCCAGGACATAGTAACAATTTATATTCCTCAGCCTTACTGCTCCTGTGACATACCAGGCCTGACATATCATTGAACAACAAAGCTAATAATAAAGATTGCATGTGAAATATTATAGCATCTGGTACCTTGACTGCCAAAGCAAATGTTTTCATGCAGAGATTAGAAAGACACATTTTAACAAATCAAATGCTTTCACATTTATTCTGATTTTTTAAAAAGAGAGAAAGTTAAATGTCAAGCTAAAATGAAATCAAAATGATGCTCACGACAGAAAATGCATCTGATAGAATTATAATGTCATCATACAGCATGCTGTTTGCGGGGTCAGTATTTGCATCACATTTTGTTTCCTGGCACTCTCTCTGCAGAATGCGTCAGTCACCTGAACTGAAATCAGATGTACTGCACTCACTAATATTATTTACATTTTTATTCTTAGACCAGGATAGGTAGATTGTTTAAGTGACAAACATTCAGAGAAGAATCACCATCCAAGAAATGCTCAATTAAAAAAGTAATTAGTCAATTTCTCCCTCTAATATAAAGGCCATTTTGTTTTGCTCTGGTTTTCTTTTAACGGGTTAAAATCTGGCTATTCTAGACACAAAGCAATCTTTCCATTCTAGAAAAAGACTGTTTTTATGTAAGACTGGAACAGATCCAGGAAAAGGGTTAATAAAAAGCAATATACATTTTTCAGAGAGAGCAAGAACAATAATTCGATCTAATCACAAGATTATCAAACCTTATTGTGTTTATCAGAAAAATACAACATTCTTCACTTCGCACAGCTCGCTTCTATGTTCCAGATTTACTTAGACTCACTGAATAAGTTTTGCATATTTTGCCAAGGACTTAAATTTTCAATTCCTTTTTAAGTATGAGATGGAAAATAGAGCCCTTGCCTCAAACATTACACTTTATTCATGAATTCTTTTCCTCCCACCAATTCAGTCAGCTCCAAATAGAGGAAAGCAACCCCAAGGCATACACAAACACTGAGTGTTTACAATTCGTCAAAAATTCAAATAAACTCTCGAAAGATTTTTTTCCCTTAGTTATGACAGTGTTGGTATAGCTACCCAACTACATCCTAAGAGAGTCCAATCAGGTTGTCTTTGCCATCAAAGGAAGGAACTGTGGCTGAACCTCCCAACAGCAAAATGTTCCAGCTGGAAACACCCACAGGTATCCCACCATGTCAAAATCTGCAGTCAGGCTTTTTAAACAAATCAGTTTTTTTCTCATTTCAGGTTGAGTATTTCAACTTTTTCAGTCAAACAACCTGACTCCAAGCCAGTCCTGATTATTTCACGGCATGTCTCAACACACAAAACGGCAGTGGCACAGAAAGTAACCGAGAAGTACAGTGTGTGCAACGACAGCTGCAGCACCGCAGAACCAAGCTGCAGCTCACCGCAGACCAGCTGACAGCGCTGCAATGCACGCCGCCAGGCACGCTCACGGCTACAAACGCTTTGGTCATAAAGCCACAGCTTATGCTCTTACAGGTAATGTGCTGGTCTACTGCCCACCCCCTTCAGTTACACAGAAGCTAGAGCAGAGTGAGGGTTTTACACAGTTAGTTTAAGATCACTAACACTTCCATACTCAGGCAACGACCAGTTTCAGTGCAGTATTTTATGGAATCCTTTATTTGCACCTCTGCAAAGAGATGATTTAAAGCTGACTTCTACTTTTGCCTCTAGCTAAACACATTGAGGACACTTGTCTGTGCGCAGTCACGAAAGGATTAGAGAAAGGTCTTCAAAACAGTGAATCTTGCAAGTGTTCTCAAACACAGCTATTTAACCTGCAGTCCTGGAGGATTAGTACATTTTATAAATCCCCCTGAGTTCCAGGCTTCCCAATATCTTCTTTACATATAAGCTTCTTTTAAAAATCGTGAACCAAACTAGAGAACTTCTTCTCTTGAAGACGTACACACCTCTCCCAAAGCCCATTCAAGAACACACTTTTAACCAGCTTTTTGACTGCAAAAAAGAAGTATTTCTTCAAATCTTAGGTGAAGGAGAAAATAAAAGACTTTTAGGTATTAAAAAGGACGGTTACAACCCAAGAAAAAAAAGATTGAAAAACGGTAATTTGCATCAGCAGGGAAGTAAGGTTGGGCAATAAAGAAACTGAAGGTTATGAGAAAGACTTTCAAAAAAGTACAATACTAGGGTTTAAGCTTAAGGAAGAAATGGCAGATAAACAAAACACTTTTCTTTCCTTATTTCATCATTAAAACAAAAAAAAAGAAAGAGGCATTAAGGTTAGTGACAGACACAAGGAGAAATAAACCAAAACAGATCCAGTTAATCTTAACATCAGACAGACAAACTAAGGACATATCCTGGATGAGAAACAGTGCAGCCACATGACCAGAGCACTGACGAAGTTTGGGAAGTCTGGTTTCTAGCCCTGGCTCTAGCTAAGCAACAGTTTTCTTTATGTAAAACAGAAAAAAAAAAAAAGGATGACTTGGACAAGTTAGTTATACCATCACCCCAGGAAACCCTTGTACAGCCAATACGTGTTCCATATCTCAGTATTCGCCACTCTCAGTGCATGAAAAACTAAACAGTCTTTGACAGCCAAAGTATTAATTCACCAGTAAAGTACCCAAACAGAAAACCCATATAGCACAACGCAATCTCCCGATGAGTCCATAGATCTTTGTGATATGTCATCACAGTAGTCTTAGATTGCTCTGTTGACTTTTCCAGACCTTCTAGAAGAAAGTAGTTACTGATATTAATACAGGAAAAGTTCATACTTATTACAAAGAGAACAACTACAGGTCCCTCTACTAAAATCACTTGTAGTTTAGTCTTTCACCTAACACCATCCATATTGGGAGAGGGTTTAAAATTAGCCCATATATGTTGTGAAATATTTTTTGCAATAAATTCATTTCAAGACAAGCAAGAAAACCCTTTATTAATTCAAAACATCACATTGTTTTAAAATAGCAAGCAGAGAGATAATGAGGGCATATCATAGATATAAAAGGAAAAGCATTCCCGTGTAGAATAAGGCAGCCTTCTATGGGAGGAGGACATTTCTGGTTGGAAGCAGCTAAGAGGATCTTTTTTGTGGGTTTTGTTTGTTTGTTTGTTTTGTTTTGGGGTTTTGTTTTGGCTGGTTTGTTGTGGTTTTGTTTGCGTTTGGTTTTTTTTTTGGTTGGTTAGGTTTGTTTGTTTTGTTTTTAAGGTTAGATAATTGTGACCAAAACAAGTGACAATTCACTTGGTGACCAGGTATGAATCAGTGCAGGTCCTGACAGTTGCATTGAGTGCATCACACTTCAGCCTTTGAACTCCAGTAACAATGGCAGTCTAGCTACCAAGTCACCAGTTTCTCACCAGCTAGTATGTTTGCTTCATCCCTCATTTCTTTTCCTAGTCATACAACTCTAGGCTTGGGGCTAAGGATAACCAAAGATGCTTCACAGAAGGGAATACTGATGACTTGCAAAACCAACCCGTTTTTGGGGTAGTGCATGGGATGTTCCCCTAAGCTGCTTTTGTAGGTCACCTTCAATTTCATTTTTTTTGGATCCTTCCCTGATGCTTCTCACCAGTTTCACCTGACAGATGTAGTGTCAAATGGCTCAGAGCACTCTCACTCAGTGCTGCAGCAACAGCCAAAAGAAATAAAGAAATAAAGCAGCTTCCACTACTGCTCCACCACTATCCCAGCCTCACCCCTACAGACCATAAATTATTGCCTAGCCTTTATCTCCCTCCTGATAACACTTGCTATGCACTTGTCACCAGGGCAAGGGAGGGAGGGCATGACGTGGTGAAAATAAATCACTCCAGTATTGAAATCTCTGATCCATAAATAATTATAAATATTTGTTTATTGAGAACTAATTAGACAATGGACATACTGAATAAGCAGTCCCTTTGGTCAGTTTCTTAAGTCAGATTAACAGCTTAGTCCTGCATTTCATAAATTTGAAAGTCTCCGCCTTTGATAACTGAAAAGCAAAATCAAGTATCTTCAGAATCACTTTTAAGCAATAAAATTCAAAAGCAAAGCCACCTTTACCATAGCTAAAATTCTAAGAGAAAAGTACAAGTTTATAGGTGTACCTGATGATGCTGTATGTTCTTTATATTACAAGAAAACTCATGGTACAGTTGGAATTTATCGATATCTTTTTCATTTCCACTTTTGGACGACACTTTTGCCAAGGCTGACTGGATACAAATGTACCTCTGCTGACATCTGAATTAAAAAAAACAAACACCACAAACGTTAATAGGGTATTTTAACATGAAACTTGTAACAAGTCATGAGTTAGTGCTTGTATTAAACAAAAATGAAGTTTGGAATCTGCCCCATTACAAGTTATGTTAACTCCCATCATCTGCAGAACTGTATTACATATCTTAATGCTCAGACTGACATGACATGTACTGACTGGAACACACAAAGGGAAGAAATTCAAGCAAACCTCAGAAAAAGCTGAGCCCTTCTCCTGAAGGGAATGGATACCCAAAAGCCACTATTTGCACTTCAGGTTGGTCAGTTATTGGTCCAACTTCACATAGCAAATTTTGGGAAGTTGCACAAAAGTTATAGTAGTTATCTATTTTATACAAATGCAACATGTCTCTTGAATCTACCCAGCCTCAGAATTCACTTCTTGCTTTGAGCACTGAACACCCATAAAAGTTTTTGTTATTTTTAGGAGTAAAAGGGATCCCCAACAGACAGCTTTCTGAATGCTGCTCATGGTTATTATACATACAACACGCTTTAGATCAACAGGATACCCCTGTAGAGCACTGCATATCCAGTTAAGGAGCTTCTACTGGTCAAAAGAATGAAAGTGATAGTTTGGTAGTGACAGCACATCCTTTAAAAAACAACTCCTTCATTGAAATTATCACATTGCTGTGCTCTAATGTTTTGATGAAGTTGGCCATTACTCACAAAAAACAGCAAACAAGGGTCAATTAAACAGAACTGAGCTGATTCAAACCAATACTGTGTGCTCCTGAGGTGGCACCTGTTCTTTGATAACCCTGTTCTTTCTCCCAGATGCTACACAGCAGAGGGGAAAAAAAATAAGCAACTATTACTCTGTCACGCCAACCCCCCAGACACAACCACCGTGAAGTCATGTAATGTAAGAGAACTTAAATTCAGCTAACGCTGTCAAAGGATCAGTAACTCCTGCTCTAAAAACAGTCACATTTGTTCACCTTATTGACTACCAATGCCAAAAATCAACCATTGCTGCACACTACTGACACTGACTGGTGTCAAGCAGTAAATATTCAAGCAATAGCTTAAGCAGATGCACATCTGAAAAGTTATGGGTTGAAGGAAGTGCAAGGAGAGAAAGCTTCCTCTTATAGATCACTAAAGGCAAGGGGGTTGGGCTCTACCTGGAGCAGAGCCACAGAGAATTTTTCAGTCTTTGGGAGTCACAGCATCACGCCATGCTCACAGCGGATCTCTCCTCCGCTGATAGCCAGAAGGGCAGAGAGGCTCATGAACCTACCTCCAGCACAAGTGAAGGAAGGGACCTAAATCAATCTCACAGTAACATTGCTTTCATTTCACTAAAACAAAAAAAAATTAGTTATGTAACCGCATGGTCGGAGATTGAATCTTACAGTGTAACCAGGAAAGTTTAGAAAGTAAGAGACAAACTTACAGTTTCCTGATAAAATCCAGTGTATCTTTATCTTTAGCGAAGATGTCAGCTAAAATATGCTGTACTCCAGCCTCTACTTCCTGGATAGTTGAAAGACCTTAGAAGAAAAAAGTAACTATAAAAAAAACTAATATGAAAAATTACTTCACACAACTGCACAAGCACTAAGAAAACATATACTGAAAGCAAATTAAAGCAAGATATCCGAAGATGAAGAATCCTAATTCATTAGAATTTTTTTATTAACTAAGCTTCCTTTGAAACCATCTGAAACCATTAAATTTTTAATGAGGCTAAAGTGACCAATGCAGTATCGTAAGTCAAAATGACATTGAAATGAGAGAAAAATAATAATTTTTTTACTGTGATGCTAACAGATCTTGACATTTATGATGTTAATGAATTATTTACAATAGTTAAGTTGGATACTCAAGTACAATTTTTGAGGTTGTAATAAAATGAATAATCACAGCAGAAGTCTACATATTTTGCTACTGATATGGAAACTGCCTAAAGTCTTTGCAGGCAATCCTGTCTTTCCTCTGTGTACTAGTTTTATATGTCCATTGGTTTGTAGCTTGAGTTTGCACAGTGACATTTCTGAGGTCAGGGTACCCTCATCCTCTCCTACAAAACAAGTAGTGAAGTTATAAAATGTTTCCATAGACAAAGTACTCTAGAGAGCTGGTAATAGAATCATTCAGCTTTCCACCACACAGAACCATCCCTCACTTCAAAAGACCAGAAGAGGTGGCACAGTATTCTCCTTAGCACAGCGGATGAATTGGACCAGAACCAGAAAATAATGAAATAAAACTGACCTCTTGTGTTTTAAATAAATATACCTAACTTTGTTTCTAGCAACAGTCAGTAGGAAATGCTTCAGAGCAAAAAGCAAGAATCCTGGAGCTGGCAGACGCAGCACTAACTGCCTCCTTCAACACACATTAGTTTTCACTCTGCTGTCTGATGACTACCAATATCTTGAAAGTTTTATTGACACCGTTTTAAAAAAAACTGCATAGCTCTAATAACTAATACTTGTATTGAATCCAGAATCCTGCTTCTGATTGGGCTATAGTTACACACTATAAAAAATTAATCTTGCCCTTTTTTAAGAAGAGGAAGCTAAACTTAACTGCCAGAAATAAAAATAAAAATGTAAGAATAAGTAGGCTATTAAATGCCTGAACTGAAGTTGTGGAATTTGGATCCTTCCATCTACGAGCTAGTGCTTCTTACGGTAAAAGCTTTGTATTCTTATATGACATTCCTAAGGGAATTATAAAGACAGACATTATACTGAATATTGAGACACTCAAGTACCAGAAGTGTACATGGCTACATTATTTTAATTCTAGCAGAGAATTTGAAAGAGATGGAATAGGCCAAAACCAGTCAGGATTAAAGAAATAATCAAAAAGTTCCCGTTCAACAAGCACCACTCACATGCGCATTTTACAGTGTCCACTGCAAAAACAGCACGTGCTTGTGACCACCCGTACAATTAAAAGGAAGAACAGTTTTCTGGTGAGCCTGCTTCCTTAACTTTCAAATATCTAGCTTTGAATTATGAACTGCTGTTTCTATTTCAGTTTATTTGTAGTGTAAGTTTAAAAAAGACAATTTAAAAGAAATTAATATTAAGATTTGATAAAAACTTTTCTGTACAGCAAATGGCTCATTGCTTTAAAAAAACAACCTTCGCTCTGATCTCAAGCAGTATACAGGTTGTCAAACTGGCTCCCAAGCTGATAAAAGTGTCCCAGTTCACAGACGTATGTAATTTCTGATGCACCTTTCAAATGAAAACATTATATAAAACTAAGCAACATTATTTTTAGTACACAATTGAAGATAGGCATACTGATTTTCAAAAACTGAAGTGTTTATGCTGCAACAAATAGCATCTCCTTTCTGAATGCACTCTAAATAATTTATTTGAACTTTCACCATGAAGATTTTCTTTTGGTTCTTTAGACTCTGCCAGAACAGTCAGATATGCGGTTGCAATATACTGTTGTATGTAGTAATGACATATGCTAAAAGGCAGTAATTAAACAGAGTATTTGGTAACTGATTTTCAATGCAAAGTCAAGATCATTTTATAAACAACGTTTAAATGAAAGAACAACTGAAGTGGGAAGAGTAAGAGTCAGCCTCACTAAGGAGGTTCAGTACCTTTCTGTTAAAATTCAAATGTAAGCGTTGGGGCAGGGAAGAACAGTAGGTCTCTATTTTAACACCACACAGAAGGTTGCAGCAATCTTTGTATTTTATTGTCAGAGATTGCCCCCTACAGATGCACCCAAAACTGCATTCACAGACACACCATTCTGCAGTCTATATGTGACAATCATATTGTTAAAGGTCCTGCTCAAATTTCGGAGATTACATCTTCTCCAAGCTCCACTGTCATTCAGTAACGAAAACTCTCCCACTCACTTCCAATCACCAAGGCCAGTTTTTATTAAGATATGCTTTGATGGGTGACATTTACTTCAATACAGGGCATGAGCATAAGCCCTTGTACAACCAGCACTGCATCTTCAGCAAACAATTCAAGTACGAGTAGAACCATGGAGAGGTCTCAGGTGTGCGCTGCACTTCTCTCTTACCAGTAAATACAGATGTCAACTACAACATCTCCAGACTTCTGGCTCTCGTATACCAGAATTACTACTATTTACAATACAAAAAGACAGGAAAGGTTGGAGAGCTGTGGCATTGAATGTAAACTCTTACCACATGTTGCTAAAAGAACTGTTGAATTTAAAAATAGTTGCATAACTTGCAGCAACATAACAATTAAAGTAATCCCTCTTTTAAAATATTTTCAGATTTCACAGCACCTACCTTTGGTATTAGGTCTAATGTAAGAAAAGAGATTGAGTTCCATAGGATTCTGCAGGAGGGAGAGAGCAGCAGGTTCTAATCCCAGCTGTTTGGCCCTCTGGGCTTTGGTGCCTTTACTCCCAGTTTTGTAAGGTGCAGACTTAAAACAAACAAAAGACACAGTTATTAAAAGGCAAGGAAATACTTCAGTCATGCTACGTACTTCACATTATGCACTACTTAGTTATGCAAGAGTACATTTAAGCTAAGGATGATCTGAAAAAGACTGGTGTACTGACCACATGGTCTAATTCTTCCAGAGTTCTGCAATTTAATAATGCTGTTAAGAGACACCCGGATAATTTCCCTTCTTTCTTCAACTTCTGTATCATTGTATGCGTCTTCTTTGCAACAGTACTGAAATGCAAGAGATTGATATTGACAGTGACATTTCACGGTGGGTTAAAAAGCCTATTGATTGTGACCTGGTTTATTGCACTGCTGAAGCTCTCTAAAACCCCTGAAGATTGTATCTCATGCTAATCCACAACAAACCAAGCCTGATAATCCAAAAAGGAGTTTCTAACTATTACTCTCTTTCTGCAATTCATTCAAAACTGTATCAAAATATCTTGTGGTAGCTTTAAGAAAAATCTAACAATAGTGGTACTCATTACCGCTATATACAGTTTTGCAAGATTACTGGCCTGGAAGCCAAATAAAAAGGCCCTAAATTAAATCCATGTTCATGAGCACCTACAGCTGTAATTCATATCAAGATAGTTCTGCAGCATCAAGTACAGGTACCAGAATTTAAACTCTTCAGACCTTCAGTAAGATACCCGTGAGCAACCGCAAGCAGCAAAGGTATTTTGTTATGATTTCAATTACTTGTTGAGACAAGAACTCTCCCAGGCCACCTTCCCTCTTTGGAAAGAATCTCTTGCTAGGGAATAGCAGAGAGTACAAGGTGGAAGCCACCATGTTGACAGAACAGCTGGCCAGTCTGTTCCCTTGCCATCTCAAGAACATACAGTCATCCAAAAAACAGCAAAGGAATGACAGCCGCCTCATCCACTGCTGTAGCAGGCTTTGCTGATCATTTCTTTGCTGCAATGGTCTGGGATAATTTAGCCTGCCCTCCTGGTACACCACGACCTCGAGTAGTGCTCTTCACTAGAGGTTTGCTGCTCCAAGCAGGCAGCCGAGAGATTCTTAGTGATTCTTTTTCTAAGGGTGCAGGCAGTATCTCCAGATCCTATAAACTACTCTCTTAGTAAGAGATCTTTCTCTTTAGTAAACTGCAGAGAAATTAAGATCTTAATTTTTCTTTAGCAATTCATAATGCTAGATTTCTTGTAAGAAGAAAAACCAACAAACCACCAGACAGGCATCAAGCATAACTACCTTGGTTTTAAACTTTCTTTACGAGTTCCTTTGTAGTTGTAGTGTGTACAAAGCACCAAAAAAAGGGACACAGAAGCAGCAGCTGGTTGTTACTTACCTTCCCCGCCAGATACCTCCCTGTACTAACTTACCGCAGCTCCTCCAATGTTTGTTGCACTTCTCGCAAGGCATCAGCCTCCAGATTATTGATGAGCTCTTTTCGATACCGAGCGATAAAAGGAATTGTGTTTTCTTCTTGAAAGAGGCGAATTAAGTTTGCACATACCCATGGCTCAACATTTGTTATTTCTGACAAGGCCTGTCAGAACAAAAAAAAACAAACAAAGCCACAAACATTTAAGAGAGGCGATAAGATTGCTTTAAACAGCCTCTCACTCAAAATTCAAAACCACACCCAGAACATTATGCTGGCCAGAAGGGACTACTGTCCTCCCCAAGACAGGATGCCAAGCTTCCCATGGATCCAGCCACCACACCCAATACTTCAGAGAGACATGCAGCAGCCAATGTTTCCAGAAACTTGTAACTACAGAAAAAAATGCAGGAAGCAGTTCCTCTTGGGAACAAAAAAAAAAACCCACTTAAACAATTGGAAAAAAAAATAATCAGGAAGACAACAAGCTGCACACGGCAACTCAGAAAACTTTAAATCAACACTGACATACCTCATGGTAAAACAAAACAAACAAAACCCACAAACCCAAAGCTGATCTAAATCCCACTCCACCAATAACTGGAAACTAGCACGATGTTACTAAAGGTTTCAAGACCAACCAAGACTCACAAAGCTAAACATTTTGTACAGATTGGTCTTTCTAAAGACAAAGTTATAGTGTAACAATATGGAATCGAGTACAAACTATACCAGTACCTTAGCCTAGGAACCTTTTAACTTCAGTTTGTTTGTGCTTTGCTACAGTTATTCCCATAGATGGCTGATTTAAAAGCCTTTCAAAAGTTTTACTCTGAAGCCTAAACACGTTAACAACTCCTGCACAATTATAGTCACTGCTTTTAGAGCAGCAATACATACAGATAAAATTCTCCATCTGCATTTCCAGGAATATTTTAGAAGATTCAGGAATAAAATTTTACACCTTTAAGTACGTAGTACTAAGGATGACGAGTAGAACGTGCCCAATCTATTCCCATTCTGGTCATACTAAAGTCTCCCATAACCACACTCAGCCTCCCAGAACAGCAGCTACCCTAAAACTGTCTTCACCTGCTTCAAAGTTAACATCCTACAAAAATAAAGATGATATCTCCCCTGATGTCACTATTGTTCAAGAATGCAATCTCCTCCTTGACAGTACTGTAAATTGATTCACGCTCTCAAGTGAGTCTCTACAACGAAGCGATCCACACTAAATCTTAAATTCTCAAACTATGCACGCAGACATCCTACATCTTTCAGTATCCCTTTCTGCAGGAGTGTCAGTTGACTATAACCACAAAAAAAAAAACCACCACAACCCATGTGCTGATACACAGAAGAAACATGCAAACTGTTTCAGGCAAGCTTTGTGCTAAGGACTGCCAAAGTCACAGATATTAGAATAATGTTAAAGTTTCAAGTTTTAACAGTTACCAACCAACATTTATATTTTTACATGTATTATGACAAGTTAAGCAGAGGTTAAATGACTCTCTGACACTCCAACTGATGCCAAGAGGACTGAAATTGTATGTTAAGGTTCTAAGAGCTAATTATGTAGGAAATGGTTTCATTGACACCTCAGAAAAGGAAAAGATCTCATACCTGTACAATATCCCAGTTCATTTCAAATTCTTCTTTTACTTTGTTGCCTCCTAGATTTTTAACTGGCTTTCCTTCAGGACATGCAGTCGACTTAATCTTTTTAAAAGGTGGTTCATCAAATGCAAAATCCTCCTCAGATTTCTCATGTTTCACTTGATTTCCAGCTACAGGAACGCTTGTTGAGGGTTTTTCATCACTCTCAAAACTCTTTACGTTCTTCCCTTGGAATGAATTTATTTCCATTTTTTTAGGCACTTCTGGCTTTTGATTTAAAGTTTTTGGTTCAGTGCCTACATCTTCTTCCTTAGGTTTTAGAAACTGCGTTCTATTGTCTTCTGCAGGAGCAATAGGAAAGGATACATCCTGCCAAAAAGGCATTGAAACCACATTAAGCGCTGACTGTCGCAAACTGGTTCAACATTTCAATTAAAACCTTGGAAGACTTGATACTAGACATCATTTTCCCAAGTGATGTCTCTGTCTGGCAGGGAAATGTCGTCAGAAATCAAGTAACCCGAAATATCTCTTGCATGGAAGAAAAGACACAAACATAGCCAGCAGAACTGTGGTCTAAAAGATGAAATAAAATTATCCTGGAAAGACTTTAATTGGGATCTCCTTCAGAAGACATTGATCTACATTCATCTCAACAACACAGGGAAGCACTCTTCTAATGAGGTGTTAGGTGCAGTATGGGAACTGGAAACAAGATTTGGTCGGCCAAGACATAGTTTAACCTTGGACAAGCCACACTACCTTTCCTGAATTTCCCCAGAGATCACCTTCAAAAGCCTGAAGGGCTGGCTTCTGTCATGACCTGACCCCTGATGTTAACCTTTGACAGAAGGAAGTAACTTCTGATAGAAGCGCATCTTATACTCATCATCATAAAACAGCGATCCTTACTGGGCTGAATGGCCATGCCAGCAAACATAAGCACAGGCCTTCTTTTTGTTGTGGTACCCAGCTGGTAGGGAACTAGGCAGGAGACAAAGGTGCAACACAGAAACCAGAGATATTACAGCGTTTAGTTTACACTACAGAAAGAACAGAGGTATTTATTTTTGTTGTTGAAAGAAGCCTCCAGGGAAAACCACGTCCCATTATCACAGGCCAAAATTTTAAAGGAGGGCCCTTAGATCTGGGACACTTAAATACATAACAAAACCACGTTTATCAAATATCATATTAACAGCAGAACCAGATGAGCTGATCAGACTCAGGCAATCAAACGAACCAGCGTTGAAAAAATTCTGCTCCTGTCACTTGCCAACCAGAGTAATTACATGTCTCTTGCTTACAGAGCCTCACCATTTCCTCTTTTATTGCCACCTTCTTGACCTTTTTCCTGGCCACAGCTGACCGTGGAGCAGCAACTTTTTTAGTTTTTGCCTCATTTTTCTTTGGCAACCGAGGTCTCTTGGTGATCTTGCTTTTTGGCTCCCACTCCTCCTCTTCCTCCTCTGATTCAGAGCTTCTGAAAAACAAACAAGTAAACAATATTGCTTATGAGAAAACCAAAAAATATACATAAGCAAGCCAGTCTGAGTGTTCTCTGACATGAAGCGAAGCGAACAGAAGAAGTGAAGAGAAAGGCAGGCAAACTCAACAAATACAGGTCTTTCATGCGTTTGCAGAGCTAATGGCTGGAACAATTCACCAAGCTTTGCTGAAGCTGGTCACTAGATGTGTACACACCTGATTCTGTCTGGACAACTGGCCATTCAGTTGCACCCTTCTTCACTGCGAGCACAAAGAGCATAGGTAATTTGTGTTTTATAATTGAAGCTTTGTGCATTAAAAGTGTTTAATCAACCTCATGCTTAGCATAAACCTTTAAAAAAGGTTCCTAAAGAGGAAAGTAATCTTACGAGTTAAGAAATGAAGGTAGCTCATCATCTTCTGATGTAAGGGCTTTGGCTTCAGATTTCACCCTCCTTGGTAGAGATGACATCTGAAACAAAGGCAAGAAGAGAGAAATAGAACATTTGGTTGAAGTTATATCCTCTTATTCAACTCACTGCCAAGGGTGTCCTCATAATGTCTTCACCAATCACAAAAGTTTCCTCTAGAGCAAGTTCAGATTTCTTAGTATCCAAGAATTTAGGCCACAGCAGCACACATTCAACAATCTTTTCAACTGAGCAAACAGACAAACCAGCACTATAGCCTCTCAAATTATTTTTCTCTTCAAATGGACGTCATTATGTGGCTTGCATGTAAAGCTACCCTAGCAAAAAGAGTACTGTGTCTGAGACATATTATTGGGTGTCACTATTATACTATGCCAGTCATTCCTCCATTAATCTAAGAGGCACAGGAAACAAAATTAAGGTGTAGAAAAGTGAGCTCACATACGGTTTTGATGTGAACAGGACTACAAGAAGATTGCCCATTTTGGTCTAGTATTTCACCTTTAAAGACTATCCATTGCTTGTATGAATAACAAAAACAATGATTTTGAAAGAGCTGCTCATAAGCATATAGAAAGTGCATAAAACAATTACTAAAGGTAAAAAGGGAAGGCACAAACTTTCTCCTGACCTGAGATTCGTGCCTACAATAGCTGCATTTCAGTTAATCCATTAGAGAATTTTTGACAATGGTTGGGCCCATGATTTTCAATAATCATATTTGACAGTTTTAGTTAAAGAATTTTAGGTACCCTCAAAGTTTTACCAGCTAGAAAATTAAAATTAAAAATAAACAAACAACATAAAGCATTCATATCACTATAAAATTCATAAACATTTTACCTACATCTGGTACAATTTCATCATTCTTCACACTCTATTCTCCAACCTTTCGCACCTTAATCTTTGATCCAGCCTTACCACTGCGAGGTGAGCCTTGAAGTCCCATGTTTGCACATACAAACTGGATAAGCATTTTGCAAAGCGCCATTTAACTCAAGGGTGAAATGCTCTTTAACCCAACTTCATTCTGGGCTCTCTTCAAGCACTAGAAGCATAACTATTGCTATAAATGGCTTTCAGCAAATTTTTCCTTGCAAAGCAGTACCAGAATTTAAGTGACCATTTTCAGCATTGCAGCAGGAGGACTATTAAGGCCCACATCGAATATCACTAGCTATTAGGTTGCTTGCAACACACTTTCTTGGAGCAATCATCATGGTCAGTAATAGGTCAGCATTTCTGTGCTGTTCCATGGACTGAAATCCCATTATGTGACTGTTTAGAATACATGGCCACTACAGGAAAACAGAAATCTCACAGAACACAAAAAATACTACTCACCTTATTACCCTCCCAGTGACTTTTCACTGCCAGTTCCGAAACACCTGGAACTTCACCCAGCCACTCTGCTTCTCCGTTTTTCTTTGTTCTTTATACCTGAACGGTCATTATCATAGTCCTGAATTAATTAATTAATTATTCCCATTACCTCAGAGGCATGAAAATAATGTTTCCATTTTATATTGTACTTTAATCTGTGAATGGAGAAACAAAAATTATTACTCATGTTTCCAACACTAAGATTTCCAGAATTAGGCAATATTTGAGGCCAAACGGATCTCTCATCTACTTTCTGCAGGCACTGGGACACTTTTTACATGGTTAGGTCCAACAATGTCATTATCAGTCATGCTGCTTCAGCTAATCCAACTAGGCTGGTATTTTTTAGTATTCCAGGTAATTTTGGAAGCCAGTGAGCAGTTTTTAAACACTCTAACCAGCTTCTGCATAGTTATCGACTGAATCATAGCAAGGAAGAAGGAAAATGACAACATGCACGCTCTCACGCCTGATGTCAGCGTTCCTCCTACGTAACACCACCCTCTAACCTTCCCTACCCATTTTGAACAATCAGCATATCACCATGATAGTTTCAGGTGAAAGCCCAGACAGAAGGAAAGCCTCATCTGGAAGGTCTTTTTTCTGCTACTATTTCCCTCTCACCACAAGTGGCCAAGTGCAGGGTCTTGAAATATCCCAACATTCGTATTGTTACGTTAAATAACATTACGGCAAGAGTAAAGCTTATTCTATAAAGTTAACTGTACTTCCTGCCACCCAACACTGGTGACTGATTTAACTCCTTGTATCAGCTTAAGAATAGGAGACGAGCTCCGTGGTTTACAAAACCAGGTATTTTCCACATTCTTCATGAACAGATTAGTATTTGCTCCTACATCCTTACGTCCAAGTCTACTTGTCTTCATACAATGCACTGAATGAAGCAGAATTATCACAGAGCAAATATAAAAATGGCATAGAACAGCACAAAATAGAACAGAAAGTGATATGTAATAAGGCTAAGTCTTTATGGGGTACTTCAACGTTTGTTTTTTTTTTTTCTTTTGATTTCTTGGATTTTCCACTTCAAAAACTCATCAGATCATCTTTTAAGTGTTTGTTGCAGTCCTTCAGAAAGCTGGAGAAATATCAAACACGTTTGATCCAGAAGATCAAAGAAGATAAGACCAGCACAGAATCTGTCCTCTGTCCCACTCATCAATATTGTGTCAGTTCTTACAAGCACATAGTGAGTTGGGACTGGTCCCAAATACATAAACTCCAACTTTAATCATATTATTAATCTACTAAATTTTCTTGAGAGGCACGATAACTTTGTTCCTAAAGGCGTTTGTACCTGCACTTAATTTGAACTAAGGTAAGATGTGAATTTAAAGCACAAAACTTATTTCAGAATAACTCTCCATGAACAGACAAGCCATGGTCTGAGGCCAAAATGGAGTTCTACAGCTCAAAATAACAGCCCAATACCAATAAGCATCTGTGAGATGAATATCAAACACGGGCTATCACAAAGGAACACCACTGTGAGGCGGGGTCAAGTTATAACCACCTCCCCTTTAATAACGTCTACAAGGAACTAACTGTACCTCACATTTGTTGAAAAAGAATCTTACAGTCGCTACATATATTCTTTTTGTTTACAAAGAACCATTTTTTATTTGAATCCTCAAAAGTACTTCTGATTTGATTCCAAATTGCCAGACAGCTGTCTGCTAAATTTTCTTCCTGAGCTGCCTGGGCTAGGGTGTGCTAACACCTACAGCTAATGACTAAGAAAAACAGTCCTTCTGTGATTCACTGCGGGGGGCAGGGGGAGGCAGGGAAGAGGATGAAAAAGCAACAAGTCTAAATGCCACTGATGATGATGAATAACTATTACAGATTTTTTTAAAAAAAAAGCTTTGAGACAGTGCCTGAAGTGAGGCAGAAAGACTCAAGAAACAGGCAAACACAGTTATGCTCCACGTGGGGTATCTACAATGCCGACTGCACTGACTACGTGACAAGGCAATCAAGCAAGCCATTGCCTGCTCTGTGCTCTGCTTCTACTGGGATATGGTCCCCCGTGTCTCCTGCCCCATGTGTTAAAGGAGCTTGGAAGAGCTTTATTCACCCTCTCATAGCATGCTAGGATCAAGATGGCATGAAGCTGGCCACTTATCTCCTATTGTATTTTCCATGTAGACTGGCCTCAATGGGAAAACCACCTTTACCTCTTCTCTGTCACCTCCAGGTAACCACACTGAAAGCGAGGGCTGGTTTCTGCCCTGAGGAAATTAACTATAGGTTGCCTAGATCCGCATTCCTTTCCCAAATCCAGAAAAGGCCCATAGCTGTAGAAAAGCCAATTACAAAACTGAAAAATTAAGAGCAACCACTTGACACCAGTCAGGTCAGAGCAAACTTCCTTCCCTTCCCATGTCCCTGCTCAGTACCGCTGTACCTTATCGCAGGTGTTCACAGTGCTGGGCGCCTGCTGTACTTGTCACCTGAAGGAAGTAACATCCAGCGATGTGCACAAGTTATCCAGCCACCCTGTGCAGGATTTCACTGGCTTGCCCAGTGGAACGTGGGCCTACAAGCTCTGTTCTAGCAGCTCCCCTCACATCTGAGGCCAGCAAACTTCCAAGAAACACTTGCTAACACGTTTTTCTTTGTTTTATGTACGTTGTCCAAAACTGCCTTAATTTTAAAGATTTTTGTCTTTGAGAAAAAGAGTTCTTAACAATCATCTCACCAACAGTATTTTACTTTCATGCCAGGCAACATGAGCTAGGCCCTGGAAACCTTGGCCTTGCCCACATACTTAAGCTCCCAATTTCTGTTTCACTTCAGATCTGCATGATCTTTTGCTTCTGTGCGACAGGCTGAAAGCTTGACACTGAACCTTCACACTAGACCCTCGATCCCCTGTTCAAGGGAATCAAAACTTTTTTGCTTGTCTCTCTCCCAAATGACAGCAGGCAGCATGAAACATCATTTCTTGAAACAGCCAAATTCTCTTTGCTTCACACACTCTGTAATCGCTAAAGCCTTGCTTCTCCACAGAACCCAAAACAGTTACAGCGTGTTCTTCAGAAGTACCTCCACTTAAAATAGAAAGAGGACTTTGCAGAGCTATCACGCTGTCCAGTGAAGAAGAGCTGAAGCTAGTTGAATCATTGCTATAGCAGATAAATGTATCTCCCAGGTCTCCTCTCCAAATAGTTTGGCATCAAGTTTGGTGCCAGTTCTTTTGTTCCCACCACTTCTATTCTCTGCATCCAGTGCAGAGCTCCACAACGCACTAGAGCTATCCTGACGGCTGCCAACAGCACACTTCTCCTTGCCTGTCAGCTACCCGCTAAAATAAGGCTGGTGTAGTTTGGTGTTGGGCCACGCCAGGAACAGAGAAGAGTGACAGGGTAGCTCTTACTATACTTCACTGTACAGAACCTTAATGTAGGTATGCACAAAACCTACAGCAAGGAAGTAATCGTTCCTCTGGTCTCTCTCCCCAATTGGAGTTCTAGGCTGCACGTAGAACATAAGTAGATTGAAGCTTTTAAGGCCTTATTATATTAAAGAGCAATCCAAGTCTCATTTAGAGACTGATACTCTCTTCAACCTACCTATTTGTACAAAGATACAACCCGTTAAAGTAAATTTCTTCATATGTGAACCCAGGTGGTAC